AGCTCAATTTATTAGTGTATAATTAATGTACCAATGAGCAGTTTGAAATGTTTCTTTATTTGAAGTGACTTGATATTTTCTGTTCAATGGAAAACTGATTTCATCCTTTATTATCAAACATCACTTCTGTTGTTCAATGTACATGTATTATCGTCATAAAAGCAAATTGCCAATACATTCATCATTTTAAGCAAGAAATATAGCATGTGTCATAAGCGTGCAGTTCGAGCTGAAACTTCTCCTGCCTCCTGCTACGTCCTGAAAATGGCACACAGACTTAAAAATGGGAAAATCCACAGTGGAAAAGAATTTAGATCTGTAATGGAGCCTCCGCAAATAACAAAGTTTGAATTTACCAGCACATCAATTAAGGCTTATGCATAAATAATATTGCTGAAATTTAATGATGGCATTTTATCTCATAACATTCTACCTACAGTATGTACATTATTTATTAAGTTTCATGAAGGTCTGTGATCAAGGTTTATATTTACACTCAGCAAACATGACCCTGTTTTGTTAAATGAACAACCCCCGCTCTAATAAAGTAACAAAAACATTATCAAGTATGTTGGCTAGTACGACAGGAGTAGAGTGAGCTTTCAAGGAGTGTGGTACACTGTACAGAATGGCACATATGTAAATAAAATCCAAATAGCAGAATGTGTTTGAGAAATCATCTTGTCCCAATTTGCCAGGGAATGTTTTAATAGTTCACCTGGGCTATATAAACACATTCTGCGAAATAATAAGGAAAAGGGCAAAAAAGAATGCGGCCCTGACAAATTATTGACATTTAGAAAACCTTCCACTTCCACCAAATGTGTATAAATTAAAACAATCCCAATTTATAGTGTGTAAACGTTTTTGTCTTTAAACACAAACGGGCCACTGAAAATATTTTGAATGATGTAAAACATGATGCAATGTCTTAAGGGGCTGGTTTTTGTGATAAATTGAGTCTTCAGTTTTTTGCAAACTCTCAGAGCCATCAGAAAGAAATAACTTTAATTTAACTGAGGTTAACAAGAGGAAGGGATCAGGAAGAAAATATTTAAGTTCAATGTTCCTCTAGGAAACCAGCCCCAGAATCTGCACACACAATCAGTGAAATTTACAAAGTTTGGGGGTTGCACTGTTCTAACAATATTTTCTTTGTACAGAAAGAATGTGCTAAATAGCCTTTGCTTTGAGACACAGGATTATAAATTAGTCTTACCTAGGCTACATTTCAGTGTAAAGTAAAATCCATCAAAAGTCTGCAAAGAACATACTGATCACTCTGATACAAAACATGAAAAACATATTTGTTTTTACTTTGAGAGCCATGAAGGTGAAAGTTTTTTTTTTAATACACAAAATTTACCCAAGAGACAGCACATTGCGCTATAATTTGCGCTATAATCTCCTTTAAAGCCTTGTTTATTGTACAAATAGTCTTTTCACATGTACTGGAAAGGTAAACTATGGTTCCAGGGCCTCTATTCACAAAGCATTTTCATCAATGTATCAAACAGGACTAAATTTAGATCTTGTATGAACTGAAGCAGATCATGTTGCACACATTCATGATAACTGATCATACGTTCTGTAGAATACTGTCATCACTGTATGCCTTTTAAAAAACTGACATATATTACAAAAATTAACGTATGAAGACCTGTGTGGATTTGTCCTCTGTTGTATAAAATGAGAGAAAAATGCCCGAAGTATGACAAGTAAATATTTTGACGAGTCTGTAACGAGCCAACATATTTTCACAGAAATATTACAAAACCATATTGGCAAAGTGAGGGCAGATATTGCTATAGTTTAATAGTTTAACACGTTATAAAGTTTGAGGTTTCAGAGGATTTGAATCCTCATCATATTCCAGTGAGCTGCTGGAGTAACACGATGGCTTATAGTTAAATGTGCTTTTAGCTTCACAGAATAAAATCTGTTTTGTTGGGATTTTATAATTTTTAGAAACAATTTAGCTCTTTTTTTGATGGTTTGGCCCATTTATCAACTTATATGATGTGATGAGAGGAAAAGCACCAAAGAGTCTGTCTGTTAGATACCTATCCAGTATGCATCTTAAAGCTGCAAATCCTCTTGTCACAGACCAGGTATGATTTTCATTGGGCCAAACATTTACAAGGCTGGACAGATAGTCAGGTGGTTTGGATTTACTTCAGATGCCCAAGAGCACTTTTCCATAGTAGAACTCTTAATTATCATCAAATAAACTTTAAAGAAGTTCTAAGTCAAATTAACATAGTCATTTAAAAGAATCAGTTTACTAGCGCAGGAGCAACTACTTGCTACAAAGGCTTTGTGAATATGGCCCCTGCCCCTCTGTTACCAAAGATGTCCAGTTGAAAGAGTGCTGTGTGGTCTGAAGGCTTCACAATTGCTCCTTGTTGTTACACTTAGTTTAGAGCCAGCTCACTGTGATTGGTAGCCAGCCATGCTGAAGTTGGTCAAGTTGGACATTACTGGACCAGGTTGGGCTGCAGCCTGGGCTGACTGAGATCCAAAGTTTCCCACCCAGGCTGGTGACTGGGACTGCCTGCAAAATTTGCAAATACATGATTACAGCAGTTAGTGTGACTTGTGGCCACTGTGTAAAAAGATGAGCTGTGTTGTAAAATACATGTACATGCAGGAAAAGCCCTCCATTTGTATCACTTAGGATTCTGAGGTATTTAATGGTGTAACTCTACTACTACGGTTTGTACAATAAAATCTCTATGAACAGATTCATCATGTAAATATGCAGAATCTGAAGGTGAGGGACACGTTTTGGGGGTTGGAAGCCTTCTGTTTTTAGTTTGACCAATCACCTCTGTAAGACAGTCTTGATCTGGATATTCACTAAACTCACTAAAATATTGCCATTACCCCAGAGTCTAATTCATCATCAGACATTAGCTGAAGGTATTTAGTGTATAATGTATATAGTGACAGACAAAATGTATCATTCATATATATATATAAAATTCAATATATACTACAGAGTAAAACTCACTCTACGCCAAATCCTTGCTGGTTCCATGTCTGGCTGTACATGCTGTAGGAGGGAACCTGCCACCCGTTGGTCACATATTGGCCATACTGCTGCTGTGGACTTCCATAGACCTGGTTCCATTGTCCCCACTGATTGTACTCAACCTAAGTGAAGGCAGGGAGAAGAAGTGAACATTTGTCCTATTAGATGTGACCTCAACGCTTAAAGGGATAGTTCACCCCGAAATAAAATATGAATGTTGGGGCTTGCAGAAACTTGGATGACATGAGCAGCATGGAGACATGCTATGTTTTTTTGTTTTATTACGTCTGAAGCTTTGGATTCTGCTGCAACCCTGTTTACCCCTGAGGCTCCTCAAGTGTTATGTGGACTCAAACACTTTACCCACCCCTCCATCGGCATAGTGGTGAGTAGATAATGTTTGAATTTTCTTTTCTGGGTGAACTCTCCCTTTAATAAGGAAAATATAATATAAATTCTGCAAGATGATTATAGTATTCATACAAGAAAAGTAATTTTGCTCTTTTTTTTAACTCTGCAAACATATCTTGGGATTTGTCATATTTCCGTTTCATAGTCTGGCCTATAAACCAAGGTTCGTCTGATAGCGTTAATTAAAGATCTAATCCACCATCAAAGATTTCACAGTTTCCAAGTGTCCTTATGGCTTATGTGTTAAAAGACCGACTGCAATGTCCATGGTTCAATTCTGATCAGAGACCTTTGTAGTTTGTTTTTTCTACTGTCATCGCTAATTCATGTTACAAAAATAATTATCGGTGACACTGTCCCTACCTGCTGTGGATTTTTCGCCATGTCAGGAGATTCTTTGCCCCAGTAGCACTTCACCATATGTCCTTCAATGGCTGTGCCATTGACTGAAACAATCGCATGGGCAGCACTGTCATGGGAGGAAAACCTTAAAAAGAATAACAGCAGTTTAGAAGTTATCTCCCAGCATTTCTATCAGGCAATTCAGAAAATAAAATTAAAATTAGAATAAATAGCATTAAAACTCTGATGTAACTGATCTGTCGTAAAAGCACTGCAGTGAAGACAGGCACGATAGAAAAGGCCACTGTCACTGAGTGTGGAATTAACTGGCCTGTCATGAGTCATGCCAAGTGCTTGTGTTGACATCTAGAGGCCAACTGTTGTAACAGACTCAAACCCTACCTGATGAAAGAGTATCCTTTCTCTGGGAAAACTCTGACTTCCATTATTTGACCAAAAGGTGAGAAGGTCTGTCGCATTAGGTGTTCTGATGGAATAAAACAGAAACAGGTTTATTTGGTTATTTCTGTGGTTATTTGATGACAGTGTTCTACAAGTATTTAGACTACTATGACTAAGGATTCTAGCAATGGCTCCTCAGAGAACATGACACTTGCCTGATAATCCTGACTGGATCCCCCCACAGTACACGGTACAGTTCTGTGGACTGGACTGAGTCAATACGTCATCAAACTTCAGCAGCTTTGAGCAATCTGAAATAAATGCAAAACATTCAAGGAAGGTTCAAATAATAATACACAAACTTTAGGGCATATAATCAAAACTAAGTCAAAGATGTGCTTAATGAAATATATGACAAAATTATCTACATCCGGAAAACAGTTAATGCTGATGCGTGTTCATCAAAACCATATAACCAAAGCACTCTCAAAGATATCTAGTATATATAAATATCTTCTGAAAGCTGTACAAAAATATTGTCACATAAATAAAATCGAGTTAATCTTATTTTGTCACCGTGTCACCTCATACACTTGCCTCAGGTCAAAGACTGAATTTCCAATCTTTATTTTGGTCTCTGCACACCAACATTGGTGTTTTCACTTATTCTGGCAGATCAGACTCATGCTCTGGGCAGAACTTTTACCCCAAAAATGTATTTTAAATTATTGTAATGCAGGCTGATATGGCTTGATGATATGAAACTAAAGGTGCAAATACAACCCACCATTGAGGACTGATAGTGATCATATCAGCCAAAACACTTTCTGCAGAGACAAATTGTCACGTGTAAATGCAATTGCATTGTCAATCCACATACAACAACTACATGGGCGGATATAATAATCGTGCATCATTGTTCCAAACCAGCAAGGTAGCAATAACCAGTAAAGACACAATGCAGTGTTCCCCTTAATCCTCACATTATTCAAGATACCTGTGGAAGGAGCGAATATGAGACCAAATAAACAACAAGAAAACACAATATAACAGCATCACAGATGGGACCAGCACAAACAAGAGCAGAATGTGACCTGAGCCGAAGCGATCGAATCTCGATCAGATCTCAATACTGGAGACATTGGAAAAAATTGTAATGAATTTGATCTGGATTCAGTCTGGTGTCTTTGTAAGGTCAGTGGACTGATAAAGTTGTCATTTGTAGCAAAGAAACAGTCTGTAAACTCCAACACCCTCATGAGAAGAGCTGTAATCACCCAAAATAAGTGCGATTCCCTGTGTTGGTGTACAATTAATGTTGCGTTTAAAACTTACTGTCCTGGGAACTCTTTGGAGCTGGTGGTTTACGTGTTGCCCAGTTGGTCCTGATCTGGCGTCCTCCGAGCCACTGTCCCCCCATGTTGACAATGGCATTCTCTGCATCCTATAAATCCAAATCAAACAGTTACCCAACTGGATTTGACTTTCCTCTGTAACGAGTATTAGGGACCACAATCAGTTCTCAAGATATAAATTACTATTTTTAATCAATGTAAAATTCAAAATAGTCATGTAAAATGTAATGTTAGATGATTTTAAGTGACAATGGTATAAGTTATTTTACATTAATGACTGTAAATGCATTGAGGTAAGATAATAAACAGAAAATAGAAATAACCTTCAGTCTGTGTTCTTGCACTGGAGCCTTACCAGTTTGTTGTAGAAGGACACAAATCCATACCCCTTTGATTTGCCTGTCGCCATGTCCTTCACAACACGGGCGTCCCTGCAGGGAAACGTTAAAAACAGATTCAGCGCACTTTTCAGTTGAAATGCTTCAAACTTAAAAAGGAACCACGCAAAACACACTGAACTGTGAATCCTCTACTCTGTCCTACATTAACGTATATTAGCTATCATGACTTTTTACTGAGCACTGACTCAAAATGTAACTTCAAAGCAACACAAAAAAAACAAAGAGTACAAATACATGCAGCCTATATTCAAAAAATAAATTCTGATGTATTAATGGATCCTTGCCTCTGAGCACCACTGTTTGTTCAATGCTCTCAACACTGATTTAAATTCAAAAAAGGAACTGATTCTATGGATTACCATGCATTCTTAAAATCTGCTATTGGTGCTCTTCCTTCATATAGAAATATATGTATATATAGAAAATATCAAAAGAGAAAAAAGGAATTAAAAGGCATACATGGCCTGTTAACAGATTTCTTTATTTTTCCTGGTCAATTCTTTACCACCAATATGGAGTATGGAGTTTGGGGAGCTGCAAATTTTAAGAAATTGACATTTTCAGTAATTTTAGAAGAGGATCATTACACTACAAACAACACTATGCAAATCAAGATGAGACAAATTAAACATAGATTTAAAGGATACATTATTGGAATTTGTTAATCTAAGCTTAGTCATGTTAATACATATCTACAAATAATGACATATGGAAAGAATGGAATAAATAGAGAAAAAACTACATCTGTGTCTCCAGAGTGCACAGTTCCTTGCTGTTAGCCTTCAAGCTCCTGTCCAATCCTATGAGCATTTCTGTAAAATAACCAAAGTGCTATTACTTCAATGAGACGCACAACTAAAAGCTGTTCAGGTTCAACATACAGCTTACATTTTGCTGACATACTGCACAGTTTACTTACCACACCCTAAATGGGTAAGGAAAAGCAAGAGTAGGCTAAAAGCTAACACCATTTAAATATAGAAACAATTAACAGACCAGAAGTAAATATCCACAGGTAAGTACTGGAAAACCTATAGGAACGTGTTGTAATAATTTGTAATCCTTAAATGAGTTTGTTCAAATCTGTCAAAGGTGTTTTAATGACAGAACAATATGTATGATAAAAATAGGATTAAATATCTGATATCTACTAAGTTTAAAATACAAGCTTTTGTTTCCCCTTTACAGTCTTTGAATATGTTTCTCCATAGTCATTCTTGAGTGCGTTTATTGGATAGCCACCAGAGAAATTAAATGAGAGGGAAGGAGGAGAAGGAGAAGGGGGTGACATTTCAGAAAGGTTCTTAGTTAGAGTTGAATTGGGTGCAATGCAGTTCAGCATTGACCACTAAGACAGGGTGTCCCAATGTTTTTTTTTTTTTTTTTTTTAAACCCAATGATTGTTTTAACCCCCCCCCCAAAATAAACTCATTTGAAATCAGACCGTATCTTTTCATTGTTCAACTGTTGAGGAGGAACAACAATCTTCAGGATGCCAGCTCTTGTGGACCAGTGTTTAAAATCATGACAAATCCCAAACTATTTTTATACGGTCTGAATTTCCTTATATTAATTTACATTTAAGACAATACCCGTGTCATATGCATGTAAACATAGCAACAGATGATGGTTCTAGTTGGCATATGCTTACAGGAGATATTAATATAACCTTATTATTGTCCAACAAAATCATTGTAGCAATGACATTATTGCACTGTACATAAATAAAGAATTATCCCCTTTCAGTGTAAACTTACGAGATTTTCCCAAAAGGTGCAAAAGCAGCCTTGACATCCTCGGTGGAAATCTCTGGGCTCAAATCACCCACAAAAACATGGAAGTGATCTAGAAAAAAAACAAAGGAAAGTAATTATGTATTATTCTCTGGTAAACAATGGTTTGAGTAGAGCAGGAATCAATAGATGATTACTTACTGGTTGTGTCTTTCTTCAGGCTACTTGGAGTGGTTGCCCAGTTTACTTTGACCTCCTGAAATCAGAGAGTTCAAGACTGTGTTGGACAACACGGATCACAGGGAAGTTCTGACCACCAATGACATGCGTATCCTCACTCTCCATTGTAGATCAGAAAAGTTGGCCTACCTTTCCTAATATCTTCCTTCCATTCATGGCTGCGAGGGCTGCAGCAGCATCTCTGTGTTCAAAGAACTCCACAAAGCAGTAGGGGTCGTTGCTTGTGTGCTGCAGGGACGAAGTCAAACACAGCAGCTCAAGAGGTGTGTTCCATCATTTCACAGACAACTGTGATCTGACTGCAAATCGTAACAATTGCCCATTTTCATTGTATTTACATTTCTAAAGAGTGGAGGAGATTGTCTTTAACCTTCCAAGAGGAAGGTGGGGCATGGAATGGGGTCACACAAGAAAAAGAAAGTATACAACCTCAACATAATTTTGGCTTACCTCTGTGATCATCTTACAACTTTTACAAGGTCCAATCTGGGTGAAGAGTTGCAGAACCAAAATTTCAGTCACATCCCGAGAGAGGTTTCCCACATACCTGGAGGAGGAGCATGATTTCTTAATGAGAGCTGTTACAGTTTGATACCGGTAACACAAGTCTGTTAAATACAGTGACACAATTCGGACAAAGTGACGCACAGCCAGATTACTTCTGGTGTTAGCTTGTGACGATCGATAATGAATCATCAATGTGACGTAATTTACATTAGCTTGCCATACATTAAGTGCAGTTGACGCTCACCTTACATATACATTATATTTTAAACAACTTTACATGATTTACCCTGGTGTTAGCAAAGCATTGAATGTAAATGTTGTTCCATAATATCCACCATGTCTGTGATGACAGCGGCTAGCTAAGTTAGCTACCAGCTACCGCCGACGCTAGCGGAGCTAACGCTACGACACTTTCAGGCCACATAAAATGACTTACAGGGTTTTAGGGTAGCTATCGTCGTCCATGGCAGGTACTGACAGTCACCAGGGCAGGAAACGATAGTTACTAGCTGGTTAGCTAACGCTTACCGACTCCAGTGTGCGCTGTCAACTACAACAACTAGCTAACTAGCTATGGAGCTAACTAACCGGGCGCCAGGACATACGTCACGCTGAGAGCCGAGAGAACGTGGGTGATGAGGAGCTCAGGCGAGGTCAGGGTGAGGAAAATAAAAAAAACATGGAACACCGGAATCAGAGGAAATCATACTTTTGTTTTAGATAGCTGTGTCTCAAGTGGGTGATTTGATTAGTTATTTCAAAAGCCTTAAAATCGAACAAAATTACCAGTAAAATAACACATTTTGCAATATCTGGAAGTCATTTGCATGAGAGACTTTTATTTTGAAGTGGACCGCAAGGGTAGGCTTGTTTTTAATGACCGGTGTTGCGACTTCTGTCTGCACACCGAGAAGTGCATGCACCTCGCGGGAGCGCGCACAGCTACAGCGGAAAGGCAGACGTGACCATCTCTACTTTAAAGTTTGATTTAAAATGATATCATCTCGATTGTTGAGTTTTTGCAGACGCTTTGGCATCAGACACTGTTACCAGCTGATATTTTGGGCTGTTTTGACTTTACATCATTTCATAAATCTAACTCAATTCTCATGAATCTGAGAAAATGTGAGGGGGTTCACATCTCAGCAAGCTCAAAATCTACTTTGTAGAATAATGCATTTTACTCGTGAATTACCAACTAATATTTTCATCATTTATCATAGATCATTTAGCTTCATTACTAACACCAACAAACGAGAGTAAACTGTATGTTTCCGTATTTGTTTATGTCCGGTAGCGTCTTTCCGCTGTGGCTGTGCGCGCTCCCGCGAGGTGCATGCATTTCTCGACGGGCAGACAGAACTCACAACACCTGTTTTCCCATCACCACCCGGGGAGGAGGACTGTGAGGGAACCTTTCTGGAAACTAAGCTCAAGTGTCAGAGTAAAGGCCAGAGTTAGAGCATGTGTTGAATATCACGTCATGACATGACTAACAACTTCTGTGTTTTCTCACTGTGCAAACTGAATCATGGGTTTTATGACAATAAACCAAATCAAGATCAGAATCCAAATTGTATTCGTATATTCTACATACATTTTAAAAAATGTCAAAGTTTACACAGATTGAATAGATACATGTTATCTATCTATCTATCTATATTTGTAGCCTATATTTTTAAAATAAAAAAATATGTTAACAGAAACGATGAAAACAGGTCTAACCTATCTCCTTCCTCGTTGTTGTCACTTTCCACTGTCATATATCAGCTAAAGGAAAAAATACAATGAATAAAGAGAAAGAATATTAATGTATGTTCGATATGTGGAAATATTAGCTGAGTAAGACTACTGAATATATTTATCACAATAAATAGATTTATACCCAGCATTTATTGCTGTCAGTATAGCAAACCATTTTGATACTAGCATTAGGGGACGCCAAAGATAATAATATACATAATGTTCTAGTAGTTTTACCACTAACATTTTGACAGATAATTTTATTTTGAAGTACTTTCATTGAAATTTTATCAAAACAATATTAATTGTCCAGAGATTTTCTATCAAAACACTAAAGGTTTATCTGGGTCACCTCTCACATCAAGTGTGTGTGGTTCTAGTTTGTGTTTCTCCATTTAAAGACCCTCTGAGAGGGGCCAAGGCAGGACGGGTGGTGAGTGGTTAATGAAAACATGTCTGCATTGGTTTGCCAGGCTTCAAAAGAGATGCCCTTAGTCTTAGCATGACATTAACATATTCTGGAAACTACAGCATCATTGCTAAATGATGAATCTCGTGATCATTTGTCAATGTGATGCATTACTGTATTATTGGTTCCGCTGACTAAAGCCATCAAATATTAACACATACAACAGAACAATGTAGGCCTGACAGGAACATTTTCCACTCCCCAAAAATTTACAATTGTGTAACTGTGTCACTGACACACAGACACACATTCTATAACATACTAATCTTGGTACTTTATTGTGTGGCTACAATACAGTAACTTATAAAATCCCTATCTTGTTCCTATTGGAAAGTATTTATGGAGATGAGATATCCCTGTACAAACACCTGTCCATGGGGACTTTGGAAGATTACACTGTTTACCCTTATAGAAATTGTCTCTATACGCTATGCAATGTAGGTTCTGTTGTCTTCAGCTGTAATGTCCAAATCCATGTGATGGTTTCCAGCCAGTTGAGGATGACTTTGATAACATTTCCCTTATAGTGTGAAGCTTATAGTAGTCCTGTGATTAAGATCTGTCATAAGGGGTGTCACTGCAGTGCCCACACTGTATCTCGGCACCACATAGTTACATAATTGTGTATCAAATCATAGCAAACCTGCAGACTGGGTTCCCTTGGAGAAGATTTATCATGTGGGAGTCTGAGTACATCTATTTGGAGGAATCTTTTATTATGAAAGAAAGAGCTTGGGATTCCCTTGTCTAACCCACAGAGAATGGTTCTCAATATGGGGGTCCAGTCTTGATGGGGAGGGGGAGTCCCAGAAAAGTTGGGGTGTATATTTCTCAAGCTGCTTTCAGACATGCACTGAACTCTGGATCCTGACATTCTCTGGAGGGGCTGCATGTTATAGTCATTTTGAACTCCAAAGCATGTCAGCAGAGTTGGGTCTGGACTTTGTCTGGAGTTTGCCTTTCAAACATGAACAATGCAGCAGTGGATTCTCAAGTAAACAGAAATCTCTGCACAGGTGGCGCAGACAGCAAAGGCATGGTGTAACATATTAAGTGATATTATTATATTTAAAGGTTCAGTGTGAAGTATTTAGTGATATCTAGTGGTGAAGTTGCATTTAAATTGACAACATCAATTTGTACAATTTAGATGATAACACATTAGTGAAATCATCACTAGGAATAGTTTCTATTCAATTTCCTGTAATAGATCCCTTTTACCAAAATCTTACTGATACACACACGGTGCAATAACTATACATACACATGTACAATAACTGTTCACACACACTCCATACCGTTAAAGTCCAAGCACCTTTGAATGCATATAGTTTTGTATTGTATTGCATTTGACTTATTTTATATTTAGCTCCGTCACCTTTTATTTGTACTTGTAATTTAACTATTGCACTGCTGAGATGACCAGTTTCTTCTTGCCAACACCTTTCATAGAACTGTTGACCCTGTGTGAACTGCATATGACAAATAAAACTTGAAACCTTACACACTGAACCTTTAATTTGTGTGTTTGTTTAGAACACATCCACACTGCCGTTGGCCCTTATTACCATGTATGACACCGCTTTTTGGATCTGTTGTGTTTTTATTTTTTTTCAGTGAATCCTGCAGAGGATCTCCTGCTGTTTTCTCACATGTGCTCATTATATCCAGAGTTAAGACCTGGGATCTGGTCTCAGAAACTCGAGAGAAAGTCCGAAGCCTCTGGTTCAGACATGTGCGTTCTTTCATATCTCCCTCCAGAGAGTTCAGTGCATGTCTGAAAGCATCTTGAAAGAATGCGGATGTCCAAGTCAGAGGCTTCGGGTACTCTCCAGAGCTTTCCATCCAGCCCCATGGTAAAACGCAGCAGGTGGATATGAGACTGTCACTTCCGCCATAGCTGCAGTAAAAACCTTCCTTCTCCAGATGAATAATGAATGCAGAGCAAAGGTTCACTTTGTGTCTGCGTACAGAGAGAGAGGGTGGTCTGCTGCGCCATAACAAGTTGGAGGAGCCGTGCCATCGCGTATCCAGCGCCGTCCGCCCCCGACATTAACCCGGCTATTTCGAGAAACTTCCAGCCCACTTTCCCCACGTCACTTGGAGGAATCTTTTAAAGCGTCCGTCGCCCGTATAAAAATGTCTCAGTAGTCGACGGCCAGCCAACATGAACGGCATGAAGACACAGTCGCCCACACTAGCGATGGCAAATAATGACAGCGAGCCCCTGCCGCTCGGCTGGGAGGTGAAGATTGACCCGCAGACGGGATGGCCCTTCTTCGTGGACCACAACAACCGCACGACAACCTGGAATGACCCGAGACACGACACGAAAAAGGTAAAAAAAAAAAAAAAAGAAGAAGAAGAGCTGCTGGATAAAGTTGCTTCGTCCTTTAGCGGATCGCCTCACGTGTCGCTACGTGCGGTTCAGTGCGTGTTTTTGCTGAATTCTGCGTGTCGCCACATCACTGTTATATTTAACCCTGTTGACTGCAGGCCTGCTTTGGCTCGGCACCGTCTCCTCCCCCTCACAGGCAGCTCATGAGCCCATTATACCGGCTGATCAACCCCGCTATGTTCCCGAGACATGATCCAACACTGTTATTATTACTCGATGACTCACTCCGCTGCAGCTTGTACCTACGATCAGCTTCCACTATTTTAATAGCGTGTCTGTCCAGTGGTGGCAAAACACACCGCGACATCCAGCGCGCGTTAAACTTTTTGCCTTACATGGATTGAGGCTGGTCCGGCTCACTTTGGCCTGTGGAGCCAGTCCGACTCCGTGTGTTTCAATAATTCATGATCCGAGAGCAATACGAAGGTCTGCGGGGATGACGTGAAGCTCCACACGCCGCCAGCTGCTGATCTTTCGTCTCAGAGACATGGCACCGTTGTCCAAAGTTAGTGTCCCGGCGAATCTGCCTCAAAGACACAGCTGTCAGGGGATAAAATTGGTGCAATGGTGCTGGGGCGGAAATGGCAGAGGGCAAAGGGTCGTTCACTGTTTATTCATAACTTTTGTCTTTGAGGGGAAACTCGCCACTGGCTTACTTATTAAAGACCTGTAGACGTCTGTATGGTTGCTTTAATGGTGAGAAGGAAAGCCTGTCACTTTGCAAATATATCCTTATAAACCAGAGTGCAAAACTAGCTGACGTGTTGCTTGTGTCTCTCTGTACTCACTTGATAAACTGTTAAAATAATTATAATGATAATAGTTAATCTTTGGCTAATGGAAATTTACAGTGTTGTTCCTGGTGTGTTTCACACCCAGGAACGGGAAACCCCAGCCACTACCTTACTTTATAATTTGCCAGTGTCTTACTTTATGATATACTGAGCTGTTTGTATTCCCTGTAATATTGTAATTATAATAGTTTTGTGTGCATACCTCAGAAGATGAATAGGTCTGGTCAAAGAAAACTGACATCAGGAACACAATTCAACTTACTGCACAGGGCTGGGGGTTATGGCAAAAAATTAAACATTCAGTCGATATCCACAATTATCACAAAAATGTCACA